TCCCTCCGATCAGCCGACCAGCTGGTCGTTTAAGGACAGAACAAAGTTGATGACACCGTACGATTTCTCTGGACCAGTCTGGTGCATAGTAACTAAGCCAGTGTAATTAGTATTTGTATTTTATTTGATCTCCATTAGCTGTAACAAGTACAGCTACTCTTCCTGGAGTCAATCCAACATGCTGCTCACAATACCATACTTTCACCAGTTTCCACCACCAAGTGATACAATTAAAAATGACACACACACACACACACACACACACACACACCTACAAAGGACCTAATATATCTAATATATAATAAATACATAAAGGGAAACTAACAACAGCGTTAGCATTACAGTTGAACTAATCCATTTAGTACACAAAAAGATGTTTCTTCTAAAGAGCTTTAACATGCTATTTACTGTTTACATAAATAATGTCACTTGGCATAGTGTTCCAGCCAGACGTAGCTCTACACATTACAGTACATTTTCCATAGTTGGTTCTCACGTTGGGCAGTTTAAATCTGCCCTCCATGGCATGTCTAGTTCCATATTGGTGATTATCCAAACTAAAATTCAACTCTTATACAACACGTGGCAGATTTGTTGTAATCATATTTCTGGTCAAATTCTTTAAAGAAGCTGTAAGATTTTCTTGCACCTTAAGCCATGACAGTGTATTATGCATCCAGGTTACATTAGTTCTAATTGAGCACCTAAGTGCACGACGAGCTGCTCTATTTTGGACTATTTGAAGAACTTTTAGATTTTTTACAGCAGCAGCTGACCAAATTTCAGAGCAGTAATCTAGTTGTGATAATACAAGTGTTTTTATAACATCTGCAATTATACTGGAAGACATAATATGACAACACCTTTTAACCATTGACAGGCCTTTCCCATTCTACTGGCAACCATAGTAAGATGCTGAGCCCAAGATAGTTCATTGTCAATTTCAACACCAAGGAGTCTGGTCTGTCACACCTGTCCACCAGTTAAACCTTTAACAACAAGATCCAGTTTGTGTCATGTTTGGAGGAAGGTACTTAACCCAAGACATGCAGAATACAACACTGACCAAAAACTGATGGAAAAAATGATTTATTTATAAGGAGGAACTTAAGGTGCACAGATGAGTCTGTGGTTGGAACTGCAACAACAGCTCAGCGCTGTGGGGGGTGTATGTGTTGGCTGGAGGAGGGAGAGGTAGAGAGCCGGGGAAGCGCAGGAGAGGGAGCAGAGGTGGAGAGAAGCGGGGCGTCCTGGTGGAAGGGGCACTGGGTGAGATGAGAGGTGGGTTATGGAGGGTGGTGATATGGTCCGTGTGCTGAATATCAGAATCCTGGAGTAGAGGTCAGTATCCAATGAGGTCGACAGGAATCCTGAAGAATGGTAAATCCAATATAAGAGCAAAAACACTACAAAATACCATTAATCCTAGGAACACTAGAGGTAACACGAGTGGCTGGCTACTACCAAAACTGAGGCAATCTTCCGGCGTCGAATTGTGTCCACCATCCACCTTAAACAGGAAAGCACCCCGCTGATTGCTGATCAGGAACAGCTGGGCCACTCCCTCTCCTGGCAAGAGACTCACAGATGGTTAAGGGAACAGGAGTACTCACCCCGGCTCATGACAGTTTGGCTTCATCCCGCAGCATGTGTTTCGTTCCAAAAGCAATACATTTTGTCTTGCCAATATATAAAACTAGCTTGTTATTAATGACCCACTCAAATACTAATTCTAATTCTTTCCTAAAAGCAATTTGAAGGTCTTCGATTGTACTTTCTAAAGAATAAATGGTTGAGTCATCGGCATACATTGCTATCTTTGACTCTTGTAACACCAGTGGCAGGTCATTTGTGTATATAGAAAACAGGAGTGGTCCTAGGCAGCTTCCTTGAGGTACACCACAGCTTACCATTTTTACCTCAGAGAAGCTTCCATTAAAGGAAACAGTTTGTTTTCTATTTTCTAAATAATTCTTCAGCCACAGTAATGCAGCTGTCCTGCTGAAAAAGGAAATATTCATTAGTCCATGGTAATGGACTTAATAAATTCCCTCTTTCTCACAATACACACGTCCATCAATCACTGTCCCAATCCTTCTGTAGTAGTGTTCTGTTCATGCGGTCACATGACATTCTCAGCCAATCAACACGTTCCCAACTTCAACACGTGACCAGCAATATGCGACCAAAACACAAATTCCTATAACACTACATCTTACCAGAAACTACCAATGGTTTATCATGACTCCCAATCCTTCACCCTCCTCTGCCTCCTCATCTAGCCTTCAGCCTTTATGCAGCACACCTGGTTCCCTCATCAAGCTCCTGACAAGCCCTGTTTCCCTGCCAACTGCAATCAGCTTCATCCACTTCACCTGTTCCTGTCATCAGCCTCATTCACCACACCTGTTCCTCCTGCTTTATGTTCACCAGCCAGCCACCAGTTCACTGCCAGATTATTGAAAGCTCACGCCAGTAAATTCTCCAGCACTCCTCACCTCTGCCTGAATCATAGATCCCGACCTTGTTCCTGTACCTCTACCTGCCCACGTGCCTGCTCCCTGCCTGGATTGTTTCTCTGCTTCTGACCCCCTTCGGACCCTTCTCTGGATTCTGCCTCCTGCCTGCCCCTTGTAGCATTCACGGATCTCTCTGGTTTTGACCCATGCTTCCTCCTGACCCTGCCTCAGCCTCACCCACCTCTGGTTATTCCACATCAAATAAAAGACTTATCTACTTTTTGACATCTTCATGGGTCTTCTGAGTTCTGTTCGTGACATGGTTGGGATTTTATAAATGAACATGGGAACCGTGGGTAGCTGACAATATGACTGCTTTTGTTGCCATGTGATCCACATCGATCTGAGCAACTTGGCCTGCATCATGATTCCAAGGATTCTTCATTCACCCGACTCGAGGAACTGCTTCAGTTTCACAAGATCCTGGAAGAACCTGTGCTCATGGCCTTCGGACACTTTTATAGTAGCCAAATAAAACAGGAATGCTTGGTAACCCGCTTGCCGAGCCTTTTCCATCACAAGATGGCAGGATTTCTGACGGACCCGGGTTGCGATGCTGTAGTCAGCTGTGAAGCGGGCCTCCTTTCCTTCTATCACTAGCGGTGAGCCCCTTGCAGCTTTCAGAATCCTTGCTCTGTCAATGTATCTCAGGCACATGAAAATCATGACCCTTGGCTTTGTCGGCTGGCTCCGATGTGATCCAATTCGATGCGCTCTCATGATCTCTGGTGGAGCGTCTTTCAGAGTAGGGAACCAAAGTGGGGGCTGGGTCATGATATATTGTAAGGCGTTTGCGTTCTCCTTTCGCTCACTGAGCCCATGCACAACTTTATTATTCCGTCTGTTCCAATCCTCAGTTTCAGCCAACTTTGTTTTCGTTGTTTTCACAGTTTTGGACAAAACTTGAGACATCTGCTCCACTTTTCCCGTGCGTGCCAACAAGTTTGTATTGGCTTCCATCAGCGCCATTGTTTCTTCTTCTGAGTGATAAGAAATCTGCATGTAGTGACTCCAGGCGTTGCTCCAAACAAGCAAATGCTTCCTCTGCTTTTGCTCCGGCTTTAGCGAAGTGTCTCTCTAATGCTGCTTCAGTTAGCAGGATTAGGTTTCCTGAAGACGCCACGGTTTCTTCTTTGGTCTCCGATTGTGGATTTCCTTTATTTCCTCGCGGCGTATATAAAGTCCAAGAAACCCGTAAAGCAGTCAAATCAATGAATTTTACCGCAGCTTAAGGTCAGCTAATCCAATAAGAGTACATACATGGACGACTTGTATATTAGATTTTAAGCAGGAGGAGAGATTAGTAATATTTGTTTCTTACACATCTGACTGCCTTCTGATGAACGGACAGAGAGTCCTTCCTTCAACAGTTGTTGTGAGGTGTGCAATTAGTCCTTAGGCCTTCGATTGTCGATCTTGCACCGGCGTAGAAGGACACGTTTCATCACTGAGCCAAGGCCCACAGGTGGTTTTCTTACATCTGAGTCTTAACTGAGCTAAGAGTGGAGTACTAAGTGCTGTTAAAACAGTCCAGTGTGAGAAGGGTACGTGAGAGGTGAAAAGCACTGTCAGCCAAACGAGAGGCTACCTGAGAAACGACAGAAGGTGAAATGTGCCTAGCGTAGAAGGCTGAGTTCCTACCTGGAGAAGTGCAAGGGATGCTAAAGTGAATGTGGAAGTGGCCAGAGATGTACACAGGATCACCATACAGGTCAGTAACGCTAACACCAAAGAACAGAGCTAAATCCAGTCTGAGAGCAGCTGTGAGTGGGGTCCTTATCTCGCTTTTGTAGGCAAAAACAACCCAGCAAGTCAAAAAAGCCCTTCACCAGCGGCTTAGATGGCCAGTATGGAAGAACTGAGAACAAGCTCAAAAGCTGCAACCTTAAAACTACTAGAGGACGCAGGTGAAGGGCGGCACCTCAAGCCTACAGAGGAGTTGTACATAGTGAGCAGACCTCCTCCACAACCCCAGGGCCTGGCCCTGTTGAGAACAGTTAGAAGGGCAAGGCTCCACGTGGGTAGCCGACTCATACGGGTGAACCCAGGACTCAACAATACAAAAGAGGTTAACTTCCTTGTTGATAAAGTAGTCCTTTAAGATGGCGGTCTTATTCCCAATGGACCCAGCGATCAGAAGAGCTATCCTAGAGCAAGTTACACCCTGATTATAGTTACGCCTGTGCTGGTGAGTAGGTCAGCAGCTCAGGTGGCATGGTAAGCTACTGCGTAGCCACAGTTGCCTTTGGGCAGTCTGACAGAGGCCAGGCTGCCATGTGTACCATGAGCCCCGACTATCACCCACACAGGCTAGGTGGGTGACGTGTCTAGCCCAAGGACCCATCAGCAGAGCGGGTATTTAGTAACGCCATGCTGCGTGAGGTGGAACATCAGGAACTACAGGAGAAGCGGGAGTTAGTGGAGGGTCCGGTCCACAGCAGCTGCATCTTCCCACACAAAGACTGCACACAGAATGTCTGGTCAGGTTCAACAATGTGACTTTATTGTGCTGCTGCATCTGTAATTCACCAACATTCACAATATTTGTACAATCACGTTGTGCTTCATCGTCTAAGACAACAAGTTTACAGAACCTCTATAGAACCCGGCATCAGAACCAGGACACGCTCACCAACAGCATCTCTAGCTAGCGTTCACAGTCACTGAAAAATAGAGTTATATGAAGACAACATTGTTGATCTCAACACCCAGGAAAGGGTCACACACAGGTGTGTGTGAGGTGGTCACTTCACAACAGTTTGGCAGGATATAGTTTCTACTATTTCATAAACACACACCTCAGAATCTCACACGTCTGTACCCAAAACCCGACACGCAGGACACATGATCGCACACACACACACACACACACACACACACCTCAGAATCTCACACGTCTGTACCCAAAACCCGACACGCAGGACACATGATCGCACACACACACACACACACACACACACACACACACACACCTCAGAATCTCACACGTCTGTACCCAAAACCCGACACGCAGGACATATGATCACACACACACACACACACACACACACACACACACATACACACATACAGGAACACACACACACAAGATAATGTAGAACACACATCAAACATGGCTGCTATGTGACTCCACCTGATAAAGGGGCGGAGCCTCTTCACTCACACAACAATGTTGCAGCCTCAGTGTGTGTTGGTCATCATGCAGCTGATCTGCATGAATGTGTGTAGAAGTAGAACTGGTCTGAAGAGTGGTTAGCTGGTTAGCTGTGTTAAGCTAACCAGAACAGGTTTATGAGCACTGGGTTGGTCTCATGTGGAATGGTTTCAACTAATCAACCCAAGTTGGACTGACCTGGACTAGTTTAAAGCCCAGCTCACACCACCGTTTCCTGACAAGCTCCTCCCCTTCTGACAAGGTGGCGAATGCACATAACTACTGTGTGTGTGCGCACGTGTGTGTGTGTGTGTGTGTGTGTGCGCACGTGTGTGTGTGTGTGTGTGTGTGTGTGTGTGTGTGTGTGTGTGTGTGTGTGTGTGTGTGTGTGTGTGTGTGTGTGTGTGTGTGTGTGTGTGTGTGTGTGTGTGTGTGTGTGAACCGGGCTTAACTAGCAACAGGGGGTGATACAGGATCAGCAGCACTTCTGTGATAGCTGGGCCGGCTTGTCCGTCAGTCTGGTGGTCTTTGAGCCAGGAGGTGCCGGCGCCTCAACGTCTACACGTTCAGACATCTTTACACAGATGATGTCCACCAGGCGTTCAAAGACCTGCCGAACGTTGATGTTCTCCTTGGCACTTGCCTCATAGTATTCAAATCCTGCAGGAGCAAAGAGAAGGTCTCATCTGCTGCAGTTTTTGACATTTAAAATTGGACCCACTTTCTAAGTTAAACATCTCTTTTTTATTTACTTATTTTATAACGGTGTCCTGTCTGGCTGTGAAGCAAACAGAATTGATGTCTGAATGCTGGTAACAAGCCTTACAGGTTTACTCTCAGGTGGAGCATCAAAGCGTCTGCTTTTAATGTCACGCCTGATACTTAAAACTTTATTGTTATTGTTGTTGAATGCTTTGTAATTCCGACCAGACACGGAGTCAGAGGTGAAAGAGAAAGGAAAAGACAAAAGGTTGCGGGGGGGGGGGTTCCACAAAAATAAACAATAATGAACAAGAGTCTGCTTCTAGACCTGCAGAAAGAGAAAGAATAGAAAAAAAGGGAAACACAACAATACATCAGGATCAAGCTATCACCGCGTCAACCTGATGATGAAATATAAAATCAACATAGTTTTACTGAAGAATCACGATAATAAATCATAGTGCATTTAGTGGCAACCACAGCCTTAAGACCTGTGTTGAACGTGCCCAAGCCCATACTTATGAGAGCACCATGTGAGCACCTGTGTGTGTACACGCGCTTGTTTATGTAAGGTTTCTCTATAGGAGCGTCCAATAGAGAGTGTGAGGGGCCACAGATCTGCCCCCCAAAGACGTGTAGGAGACGGGGGGAGCTCCAAGTCCCAGAGATCCAGGAGCTGCCCCAGAGCACAGGAACCCCAAGGAGACTGCAAACAGAAAGGCCCCCACCCCCCTCAAGAGGAGCAGAGGATCGCCCCGGGTGGCCACAACCAGCCCCGGGAGATATCAGCGGCAAGCCCACAGGCCTGCCCGCAGCCTCCCACCCCCTAGCCGGCCGAGCCCGGGACCCAGCGACCCGGGACCCAGGGGCGACCACCCCCGCCGGGGACCCAGCAGAGCCCAGGGACCCAGACCCCACCAGGCAGCCACCGGGATCTATCAGGCAGATGCCAAAAATCTTAAACCCCCTGACCCGGGAGCCACGAACACTCAGGCAGACCAAGGCACCACACCCCACACCAGGAGTGGCAGGGGGAGGGGAGACGAAGAGCTATATCATAAAAAGAAGTCCCAGGAGAGGGGAGGAGTCAAAGGCCCTACATGACATATACAGTCATACACAAACACAGTCACACACTCCCTCCCTCATGCTCACACACACACATACAACCCAAGACTTACAAAAATGCCCGCCGGACACCCACTCATGCTCCCCATACACACCCTATTCACTCTGGTCCCGGTACTGCTGCACATGGGGTACACCATCACCGGTTACCAGAGTTTGACCCTTTCTGCTGGGGTGCTGATGAGCAGGCTCCCCCGCCCAACGCTGAGCACAGCAATCTACCACCCCAGACCCCAACCAGACGACCAGATCTCCCTCCTAGCCTCCAGCCCCAGGAAGCCAACCAACAACAGAGGTGTGCTAAGACCCCTAGTCTCCCTCCGCCTGCTCCAATGTGAGTGTTGATGAGGTGTATTCCACGGCTGTGGTGAGCGGGCAGTGCGGTGGCATCGTCTGGCCTATGCCAGCTGATGCCACCGCACCACCCCACTTGCACCCACAGCCCTCGGTGTCTAAGTGCAGTTTAAAATTGGAAGTGGGCACCGGCACTCGGGAGGAGGCTGGGAAATCCCCCTGCCAAATGCTGTTTGATGTGCTCACTCCCAAGGCCCTAAGTGTGTGTCACTTCTCCCGGCATGCAACAGTTCAAATCGAAACGGCGCCATATTGGCAGGCAGAAGCCGGAAGCTGGACTATTTGTTGTTGTCAGAAAACTCAATCAGACAGGAAATATGGTAGATTCCTGTTGTGCCCCAGGATGCAGAACAGACACAGACGACATAAGGGATGAACCATCTACAGGATTCCCCAAGATCCGGAGCGCTGCAAACGTTGGATCATTGTAATAAAACGCGCTAGTGACCGGGCTAAAATGAAGCTTTGGGATCCCGAGAGTAAAGGTTTTCACTTATGCAGCGACCACTTCATATCAGGTACTTAAACCAACGTTTCCTCAACTGTGTATGGTATTTATTTTAAATGCTTTTATTACGATTCTTAGTGGGCTTCCTAAACTTATTTTGGCGTGGCTTTTTCTGTCTTATTACTCACAGCAACAAGTAAACATCACGTAAAACTTTGCCTCGTGAGTTCTGCATGCTGCCGTTTACGTGTTTTATGATCACAGCAATTAACCGGCTAAGCTGTATTTAATTTTTAAGCAATGGTTGATCAATTGTCAGATCACACATAAAAAGCACTTTGGATTGCTATTATCTGTGTCACCGAGACAGATCTCAGACAGATCCTGAGACGCTCCTGCCTGACATTTTTATTTTATTCACGGGAAAAAAAATCAGACTAGTGATTTCTCTTGGCGTTCAGTTTATACATTCAAACAGCACAGCACTCTATTTAAACTACTTACATGTAAATCTGTTATTTGTCCATCCATCCATCCATTTTCATCCTCTTATCCGGAGTCGGGTTACGGGGGCATGTAGCGTTGAGAGGCCCAGACTTCCCTCTCCCCAGCCACCTGAGCCAGCTCCTCCGGGGAAATCCCAAGGGGTTCCCCGGCCAGGTCCGGTAAGAAGTCCACTCCGACAGCTTCTGGCGTTATTAAAAAGTATCCCAGGGGCACGGTAAGGGTCGGAGATTTTTAGTCTATTTAATTTCTGACTATATAAAACAATTTCTTCGGTTTTAAAGTGTGAAGTAAACTCCGACGAAGTAAAATCCAAGCCGATCCCGTTCAGTGTGTTTACATTTGTTGCCTGCCAACGTGGCGTCTACTCTCTGAGACTCACGTGACGCCCGGAGCTCTATACTGCTCCGCTTCAGCCCCCGCCCCTCCCCCTGCTTCAGCCCTCCCCCCTCCCCATGCTTCAGCCCTCCCCCCTCCCCATGCTTCAGCCCTCTCCCCCCTCCCCCTGCTTCAGCCCTCTCCCCCCTCCCCCATGCTTCAGCCCTCCCCCCTCCCCCTGCGCAGCAGCCACAAACTCACTGATGCGCCTGCAGCCTCTCGGAGTTCCTGCCGCTCTAAACATTAAAATAATGATTTCATTTTCTGTTCCTCACTTCTGATTACCTTCAATGGTGTCTGTTTGTTGCAACCAGCAGGTACAAAAACTAACTTGTTTTTATTTGACTATTTTTCTGTCCTGCCTGTTTATTATCTTCCTGCATCTCCTCTCAGTCCTAAAGAAAAACTGCTACCTGGATTCATATATATTCACCTCATGAGTTACCTTTGAACTGCAGTTCTAAAAGATCTACCGACCGCTAAAACAGCGGAGTGCACGCCGGCCGCATCAGTTAGGTGTGTCACCGAGGACAGAACAGGTGATGCGCCCCGATCCACAGCAGCGAAACGCATCAGGCACAAATAAAAGAATAAAAGACAGAAAACATAAAAGGAAATGAGCCGACATGAACGATCGCGTGTTAAATTAGTTTTTGAGGTGGCGACACCTGATTTGATAATGTTACTGTGGCCGTGCTCAGGACGCAGATGTCTGGAGCGCGTCAACGATCAGAGTTTTGCATGTGCAAGCTGGTTAAGGTTAGGATGGGGGTGAGGGGAAGGTTAAACTGCAAGAGGGTAAACGTCACAATTTGGTTAAATGTCCGTTTTACGGCGGGTGTCAGTACCGACGCTCTGGCACAGCGCGTTGCCTCCCGACGCGCAGGAGCTTGTCACCTGCTGACAGCAGCCTGCTGTCTTTTCCGAGGGCTGCATCTTGCCGGTCATTATCACGTGACAGCGACTAGTCGATGACAGGCATAACAAGTCACTATAGAGCGGTGAAGTTGACTAGTGACTAGATCATACAACCCCTAACAGACACACACACACACACACACGCACAAACACACACACGCGCACACACACACACACACACACACACACTCGCGTCTAGCAATTGTTGTGAGGACCGTCATTGACTGGATTAACCCTAACCAGTCTACTGGCCCTAACGAAGCCCTGGTCCTCACCGTACCTCCAGCGCTGACGAGTACAGCTCTGTAACGTTGTCCCACAGGGAGGTTTCACCGTTAGCCACCAGGTCTGGCTAGCTGATTATACTTGTCCCTACCTGTTACGTCTTATGTTACGTCCCCTCCTGAACGTCTAGGAGGATGAGGGGACTAACACAGAAAAATAGGTGGAGGAGTGTGTGTGAGGACAAATAACGAGGTGGTGAGAGTAAAATACAAAAGGGTTCATTAACAAAGGGTGTCCGTTTCTAACGGCAAGATAAGGCTTAACAATAACGGTGATGAAAAGGTGGAAACTGAAAACGTAAGCGATTAACTGCTTGCAAAAAATGGCTTTTTGCCAAACTTAAACAACAACCACCTAACAGAAAAATGCCCGGCTCAAAGTCCAATGGGGATAAAAACCGAAATAAGAAAACTGACCCTCTGTCAGCTAAATCGTACAAATGAGGAAACTAAGCCTATCCCCTATAGAAAACCCTTAAACTAAGATTTAGCCTTAGAATTGATTGTAACCGAGCTCAGGAGAATCACACACTAGCTCTGGACCTCCTCGACTGTCTGCTGCGCTCCTCTTTTAAGCCCAGTTGGCATGCTCGATAGCTGATTTGGATCAGCTGCTGCCTTCTCTGGCGTGCCTCTCTCCAAAGTCCTGAAACGGCGCTGGTAAGTAAGCTGCTCCGGAACTGTCCCAGGTGCTGAAAGCTCGGCAGTGGGGACAGCAGGCTCAGGTAAAGCTGACGAGGAGGACGGAGGGGACGAAGGTCGTCACACTACCATTGGTCACTGGGTTCACCCTCCACCATCAGGCCCAGGCCTGGTGGACTACTAGGTTGGACACTCAGAACCACCACCGATGATCATCTACAGGAGGGTCCAGCAGAGGCAGGACCAGCTGCCTGGCAGAACTATTCACCTAGGGCTGGCTAACTAGTCCTTGTGAACACAAGGTGAAACAGAAGGCGAGGGCAGCCATGGTTTTCCTGTGTAGATTGTTGGTTATTGTGATAAACGTCCCAGTTAGATACGACACAGTAATATTAGAGAAGTGAGACAGCGTTTATAGGGTTTACAGTTTAACACAGCTAGACAGGTGCTAAAACCAGCAGATCCTCCTTCAGCAGCAACAACAGCCTCTGAACTTCCTGTAGCTTCCACTGACAGTCTGGATTCTGGCTGAAGGGATGAAGGACCTTTCTTCTGTACAATCATCTCTGGTTCATGAAGGTCTGGACAGCTAACTCACACCACAGATGTTTAACACTATCAGACCCCATCTGACTTCCTGACAGACAGGAAGCAGCAGGTCAGGCTGGGGAAGACTGTCTCTGACCTGCAGAGCATCAGCACAGGTTCATCATGATGGTGTCTGTCAGAGACCCCCCCCCCCGCCACAACTGCATGCCACCGAACCCTAACTCCGGCGTCAGCATCTCTCCTCTGCTCTGATGCTGTCCATGTCCAGCACCACTGCTGTCTGTGATGAAGATGAGCAGCTCTTCCTCAGCTCAAAGCCCCACCCCACAGGTGCAGGTGTGTGGCTGCAACAGGTGAGCATCAGCGTGGAGCAAACTGACCTCGGATTATTTTGGTTTATGAACTTTTTCTGCTCCAGGGCATGAAAATCAACAGGTGAGATTTTACATTTTCATCTAAGAGAATGAATCTGTGAAAACGATCTAACCCACTTTAAACCGGACAGATTACAGACGGACGAAGAGATAATCCCTCCTGGGGAAGCATGGAGACGACCCTCATCCCAGGAGTAAAAAATAGATTAAAGTAAACAAGAAAACAGAAATACTTAAAAGAGTCTAAACATCAACGATGCTGCATACGAGCGGCTCACGTGTTCTGTTACACCACATGTATGTAACCGAGGCTCTGCTGGGGGACCGTCCACGGGCTTGTAGGGGCTGTGTGGCAAACAGGACGGCGGTGGAAACGTCAGGTGGAGCACAAGTTGTCTCACGCTGGGGCGGTGCATCGTACAGGGATTAGGGGTGTGTGTGTGTGTGTTCACTGGAGTGTATGCTGGTGAGGGGTTCTGTTGATGGAGGGTGGTTCGGATGTGTGTGGCGGGTTGTGCCGGTCTGGTTTGGCGGTTGCTGTGATTCCTCCCGGTGCTCCTCGTGCTCATCAAGTAAAGGTTGACTACTCAGCCTGGCTGCCTTATTGCATCTCTGCTCGTGGGTCCTACACCAACATCACCAGATCCTGGCAGCACCTGTGTGTGTGTGTGTGTGGGGGGGGGGGGTCGAGTCCTTCCTCCTCTTACCTGATCACTGTCGTGTCATTTACATGAAAGGTGCCCAGATGGCCCGACCAAGCAGGTCTGGTATCAGTCCCCCCCCCCCCCCCCCCCCCCCCCGGTGGTGGTTGAGGGCAGCTGTGGCTAAAACATAGCTCAGTATTTTGAAAGGCACCTTGGGGGGCTGTGGGCCTCTGGAGGGCTCTATCTACACGCAGGCCTTTTACCACACGGCTGTTTAGACGTCTGGAGCAGTACCTCACCTAGTTGATCAGCCAGATGTTTTCCTTTCTCGTGGGGTACCACCCTCTCCTGGTCCATGTCACACTTGTTCCCCACCATGATCACCTGGGCGTTGTCCCAGGAGTACGTCTTGATCTGGGTGGCCCTGCTGACACAACACCAGCTGAGTTTCCTTCAGCCAGCAGGAGGTAGAGACCTTTAGACGCAGACGTACCAGTCCTGGACGGCGTTGAAGGACTCCTCGTTGGTGATGTCATACATGAGAATAAAGCCCATGGCGCCGCGATAGTAAGCAGTGGTTATGGTACGATAGCGCTCCTGACCTGCTGTGTCCTGAAAACAAACACAAACAAAACCACGTGCAGCTTTTAGGGTCTTAAACAGAAATTATAATTCATGGTTTCATTTGAGGAAGTTCAGGAACTCCGAGAATAACTTCTAGAGATGAACTCCAAAGGCCTGAGAGGCTGCAGGAGATCCATCCATCTGCACGGGCCCTGCAGCTAGACCTGTCCCAGGTGTTGCTGAAGATGTGGAATAACATGTGAACAGTGCATCACAACAGACGTCAAGTTTCAGTTACATAAACACTTTGTTGTGTTTCTCATTTTCCTTAATTTGGAAGGACGGCCAACCAAAAGATGGAATCTGCTCGTGAGGATTCATCTTGCAGCACTAGGTTACTAAAATCACTGCGAATCATCGGCCACCAGGATATCTAACGTCTAAAACCTTCAACAATGCTCGTTCCGTACTACGGAGTGACTTAATCCCAACCTGAAAATCCTCTAAATTCTCATGTAAAAGTAGCATCAGCTAGGCACAGATCTGATGAGTTCAGCCAGGAAAGGACGTGTGGAAACAGGCATTTATGGGCCATTCCCATCTGTACCGGGTCGGCCCGGGCCGGGTAGCCCCAGTCGGCCCCAGCCTGGCCCGGTTGATTCCACACATCCTTGTCTTAAGCCCATGTGGGCTGATTCTACCCACCAATCAGAGGCTTGCTCTAATGGAAGGTGTGGATTTGCTGTCAGCAGTGGGTGTGTTGGCCCTGGTCGGCCTGAAGCAGACCCCCTCCAGAAGAGGGCTGAGAACGAGCCTTGGTTGGCCCGGAACAATACCAGGCCACCCAGATATGTAAACAACCTACGCTACCCGGCACGGGCCGACCCGGTACAGATGGGAATGGCCCATAAGTCTGGCTGAAACATCAGATGAATCTGAAGCCCCCTTCAGACGGGCCATGAAAACGGAAATGTTCCGGACTCTGTCCGTACGTCCTTTGTGTCTGAATACAAACATCCGGATAACGTGTTCCGTAATTAAACCGGACGAAGCCCTAGTAACAGGTCCGGACTTGTCACGGGCAGGGTGGCTGCTTCAGACTGGTGAGGTCGAGTTCCGGACGGGGGGAGGGGACCGGGGGACGCTGTGCGCACCTAGATAACTCGCTGCTGTAGCATGCGGCGAACCACGGCAGCTCGCCTCCTACGGTACCGCCTAGACGCGCGACGGAGCGCTTCACACCGCTTCAGTGATTCCTTTAACCATTGAGCTTCATCATCCAGGTCTCTTATGCGTCTTCGTGTGCGCAGAATTATGCTTACCAAGCTCTCACCCTGGATTCTCATGTCAGTTCTCTTGTTGGCTCTTCCTTCTTCCATCTCAGGAACGTTGCTAAGCTGAGTCCCATTCTGTCCCGCTCTGAACTTGAGACAGTTCTCCACACCTTCATCTCCTCACGCTTAGACTACTGTAACTCTCTTTTCACGTGTCTGAGCAGAACCTCCCTGAACCGTCTACAGGTGGTTCAGAACGCCTGTGCTCGGCTTCTGACCAAGTCCTCCAAACACACCCACATCACCCCGCTTCTCCTCCAGCTTCACTGGCTGCCAGTCACCTTCAGGGTTCATTTCAAGATCCTGGTTCTGGTCTATAGGGCCTTACATGGACAAGCACCATCTTACATTGGTGATCTTCTTAGTCCCTACACCCCCAGCAGGTCCCTGAGGTCCAGTGATCAAAGCCTACTGGTTGTGCAGCACCAGGCTAAAGGTCAAAGGTGACAGATCATCTGCTGCTGTGGCCCCCAGACTCTGGACCTCTCTCCCCCTGAGCCTGAGATCAGTGGACTCAGAGGTCTCCTTTAATCACCTGTTCAGGTTTTGGTGGGACCTCCATCACCTCCCTCTCCCTGTTCTGCTCTCCCCACTGATTTCCCTCTTTCCTGTTAACTCTCTCTCGCCCTTTTTTTGCATTTTTAAATCACAATTGTCTATTTTTGTTCATTTAAACAGATTTTTAATAATTTTCTTTTAAATTTTTTGTTTTTGTGAAGCGCATCATGATTTTTACCTTGAGAGACGCTTTAGAAAAGACGGTTTTACCCCAGAGAGAAAACCACTAGTGACGGTTTCCAGAGCGTGACAGGCCATGACTGGAAAGACTTCTTCCAGCAGCTGAGCAGAGAGTGAAGATCCAGGTGGCTTCCGTCTCTTCACAGCCTCCTCCAGCTCTGAGTGCTATTGGCTAAAAGCCCTCCGACAGTCCTGAGGCCGGAGCCTCTACAGGACGGTGTAATCGAGGCCCTCGTCCTCACCGCTTTGTCCACAAACAAGTTGAGGACAGCGTTGCAGGATTCTGTAG